GGGTTTCCATTAGTTGTGGGTTTATACTGGGGTATGAATGTGAGGACTGTAGAAGGAACCAAAGATGATATACTCAATACATCATGACTGATTGGACTTTGAAAAGATGTTGATGCCCAGTGCTGAGGCGATAAAAAGTTTGTTGCGTTCACTTGATGACAAGAGCTGGTGCTGTCTTTCTGAGCCATACTTTTTAGGTTTTGTTGCCAACAAACACAGAAACCTTGGCTAGAACCTGCAAAATTAACAAAGTTATGACAAAACGTGAGCTTCCAACAATGCATCTGTAAGAAATACTCTGACATTCTGATGGATTTTGACTGCTAGAATTGACACATAATATAACGTATATTAAGTTTACAATGGGCAATTATTGACCTAAGAACTACCGAAATGCAGGCATGGTGCGAGAAAAATACTAATGAATCCATGGAAAAGTTATTCAAAGTTATTCAAAATGCAAAGTAAGATAATAGCACTCTCAAAAATTTGTTATATTAAAAAATATGAGTGGATACAACTTTTCTGTGATAAACGTGTGCAAGAAAAGACACCCGTTACCCGCATTGTTCATAACACAACAACTTCTGTGACTTCCTTGTGTGTCAGTCTCATCAACATATATTTTCAAGAGCGCTCACCTGAACGTCACCCATGGAGATTTGCATGTATTGGCTTCATTTGTATGCATGGGATTATTTATCCACGCGCCTCCTCCACTTATTAAACCGGCTTGTACCACAGCCAGGAAAAGAAATACATCACCGTTAGTGACAAGACTCAGGTGCCTGCTGGCTCCTGTGCATCTTTAATCCAAAGATATCTGCTCTCCTACTGTGAATCCATCCTCTTCAGCTCACGCAGGTTACAGTTTGTCACTTGCGCTCTTGTGATTCTGCAGCTCACCTCGTCCTCCCACTTAATCCTTTCATTGTGTCACACCCTTCAGCACCTTTCTCCTTCTCCTTCCTCTCCTCTCTCCTCTTCCTACTTCTCCAACTCAGGTTTTTCCTCTAGACAGAGCAGGCGAGGCTGCAGCAGTCAGGCCAGTAACAGATATGTTGTTGCTGGCAGTCTATGAAATATGCATGGGGATAATTGTGCGCTTAGGTCAGAGTTTAACAACAGATAATCTACATCATACCAATGAGCCTCTTCCACTAACAAGTAGGCCACTGTGTGAGTACAGACACAAAAACATAGTTCAGTTTCATGCAGATGAAGTAGATATGTATCTAAGAATAAAGGTCCCATTATGAATCTGAAGAAGCAGGATTGTTTCTGTGTGTCTTTTTGTGGTGACTCTTTTCAGTGGTATTTTGTTCATACTATCAAATTACAGCATGAGAGGGCGCAGAGTGGTGGCAGTGACAACTGACCCGTCGTAGTGTTACCTCACCTGTTCTAGGTTACAGTGACTTTACTTCTGGGAGCAAACATGGAACATCGGCATTGGACACGTAGACACATAATGCCTCAGCCAATCATCAGGCTTGAATGTTTCTCTAAAGAGAGGTAACGACTGCACAGTCATGCCATACAAAGTAATAATTTAGAGTAAAAAAGCAAAAATTCAAAATTCAAATAATAACTGTGCCGCCGTGGTTTTAATTGTATCAGTCTCAAAGATTTCAATGTGTGCATGTAAATGGAGAATCTGCCTCACATAGAAAAGTTAGTGATCTATAAGGATCATGAATATCAGTTCCGTCTGGACTGACATGTTTGACATATTTTGTGGCTGCATTAGAAAAAACAGACACAATTTGTAAATTCAAAATATAGACCCTACAAAATTCCATCCTCTTGAGATATCTTGTTTCTGTGTTATTTAGCTGAGCAAACTGTCACTGCTTTCTCTACTATTGGATAGAGGTGGGAATCACCATACAACTCGCGATACGATATTATCACAATACTTAACGCACGATACGATATTATTGCGATTTTTAAAAAATATTTTTGGCGATATTTAAATTCTGCACATAAAGGTAAACTTTATCAATATTCATTTTATCTAATATCAAAGTCTCACACTCAGTCTTTCTCTCATTTCAGTCAGTTTTATTGTTGACAAACTGAACGGTTTGTATTACAGTCTAGTCCAACTTAACTGAATGCAACCATCTGGTACAATTATAGCTATTCTGAACTATGCAATTTATGAAAACTATGCAGCCCATTCAGCAACTGAAGAATTTGAAAGTAAATTTTAAAAATATATAATTTTACATTAAATAAAAAAGTTTTAAACTTAATTAAAATTAAACATGTCTTAAATTAAAATAAGTAAACTCATGTTTATTGCTGCCAAAAAAAAAAGTTAAACACATTTGGACAGTGAAGGAATGTCAGGATTCTTGCTCAGAAAAAGGATCAACATGCTCTGAAGTCAACATGCTCTGACTCCAGAGCATGTTGACTTCAGAGAAAAAAATGTTTGTAACAAAATATCGATTTCTGCTGTCCCTGTATCGATACATTATTAGCAAACAAAATATCACGATACTACACAGTATCGATTTTTTCCCCCATCCCTACTATTGGAGCAAATATTGTGATTTTATTTTTTTATCAACTGTTCTATGTAATGTTTCATGGTCTGGTACTGCTTAGAAGCATTTGCTTCTTGTAAATAGTTGGAGTAGTTTTATTGTAGTTTTTTGAGAAGCTGCCTGCTCATGAGACTGACAGGATGCATAAATAAATAAAGCACGCACACTTTGTTTGTTTCTGCATTCCCGCATCGCCTTATTTACTCCATACAACTCGCACCAATCTCAGCTTGTCAAACAGACACAGCTCTGCCAGCTTCACCTCCCTGAGGTATCAGTCAGAAGAGGAGTGAAGGAACTCGTGTTTGCCATCTTGGCAGTGGCCCTCGAGGTACAGCAGCATTTTCAACTTAACAGTATCATTTTTTTATCCAGTGAAGAAAGAGACATCAGCTATTTAAATGACTGAATGGCAGAGTTACTGTCAGGAAGCTGCAAGTCAAACACAGAGTGTGTTAAACTTCGGTTTGTTTTTCTATCACAGCCAAACTCTGACAATTTGGATCTTGAAGCATTTCTTTTATTAACTACACGTAATTGCAGAGATACATGTACTTGTCATTTGTTTTCTAAATTTCCTACATCAAACACTGAAAATATTCACACAATGGATTTTCCTTCTTGGTATTATTGATTTAAAGGAACAGGATTGACTTGCACTACAGCACAGGTTATGCAAATTATTGTTTAAAGAGTTTGATATTTTGATTGGAGGTGGATGGGAAGACTGATGTGACTGTTGCTTCCACTTGGTAAAAACTACTAAAAGGCTAAAGAGCCAAAGCTGTAAGCTGGAGTTACAGTGGAGGTAATAATAAATTGTTCCCCTGCTTTCAGTGAACAGGGGTCGTGGACTGCACACCAACTATCAGCAGCCTACAATGCAGCCTTAGGAGCTGGTCCCAGGTTAATCTAAATGAGTAGTCCTGTTGCCTTGAACTAAAGCAGTCATGAAAATGAGTCACTATAATTAGCGGGCTATCAGAAGAATTCACAATATCCTATTTCAGGCCAGGTAACCTGCAGAGATTTCAGAAAGTTATGAACCAAGAAATAGTTCATGCATGAACCTCCCTGAAAAAACTTTGTGGTGTTCAGAAGTGCTGGAAAGCAGACTGATTTCATCTTTTTCACATCCTTTGACCCTTAGCACAAAGAACAACATGCATATTTCTTAAAATATCAAATGGTCCATTCATTTTCTTGATCATTTGTCCAGTTTGGGGTTTCACAGCATGGCACACCTTAGACAGATTACAAGTGTATCACAGGGCCAACACAGAGAGACTGACCATGTTGACATTTACTCCTCCCAATTTAGAATCACCAGTTAATCTAACATGCATGTCTCTGGACTGTAGTCGGAAGCTTGGGTACCTGGAGGGAGTCCACCCAGGCACAGTGAAAATATACAAATTTCATACCAAATGGCCCCAGTTGGCTGATGGAGTCCTGTCTCACTACACAAGACTTTACACAGTCACCATCCCTGTGACACTGACACAGGATGTAAGTTGTACTTTACAATCAAGTAGGGAAAGGACTGGCCTATACAGTGGAAGTGATTGTATTTTTTTGCACTGTAATTTGACAAAAAAGTATATTTTTCCATTGCATAAGATGGTAGTGATTTTAAAACAACACAAGTAATGGATGAAAATGATTTTTATTTGATTATTTGTACATCCCACAAAACTTTAAAGCAAAGTCTACAACACTCACCTTTACATTTATAAGCAACTTATTTAGAGAAAGACCTGTACATATTAAAATGCATGAAAGCTGTCTTGACTGTTACTGCTCAGTCACCAAATCAATAATTGTTACACAATGCAATGGGGATTTTTTTTAAAAGACGTATGAAACATTATTGATCATTGGCTGTCAGAGTTTTAAGCTGTACGCAAGCTGTTTTTCCCCCTTTCCCCTGACTTATTCCAGTCCTCTGGGAAAGACAAGCACATGTAAACTGATAAGGTGCTTTTTGTCAGTGATACAAGAAAATACAAGTACGACTTAAGTCTTCCAGTAAATTGGAAAAACAGTCACGTTTCTTGGAGTCCAACTTACGCTAAGTTTTTGAGTCAAGCTGCTGCTCTGAGATTCCCGGTCCTCAGTAATTCTCTTGACAAGCGTATTATCTGTACAACGCAGCACACGTCTTCTTTTCTTTGAATATCTCCCGCTTGTTTGTGTTTTGTGCACCTGTCTTCTACTTGTCACACGCTTTTTTGTGATTGCCTCCTAGTTTCTTTCTTCAGTCTTGTGTAAAGCTATTTGTTACATTTCTCTTGTCATTCACTTTCTGAAAAGTTTGTCCCACTTCGACTTATCAGCTGTCCACTCTTTTGTCTCACTTCCCATCTCTGCACATCAAACCTGCCACACACTTCTTTATCTTTGCTTCTTACTCAGCTCTTTCTCACCTCAGAACTCAAATTGATGTCAGGCGTTTTTATTTTTTTATTTTTGGACAACTGACACCTCTCATCCTTTTGGACTAGCAGTGCAGGATCTTGATGAAGGCTTTGCGAAATTCAATGTTGAAAGTGGTGTATATGACAGGGTTGACGGCACTGTTGAGGTATCCCAGCCAGGTAACGGCGCTGTACAGAGAGGGTGAGATGCAGCAGCTTCTGCAGTGGGCCTTCAGTACATGGGTCAGAAAGAAAGGCAGCCAGCAGATAATGAACACACCTTTGAAAGAAAGACAAGACGGGGGTTATGTCTTTGTGTGTCACAGAAATCATTCAAGGATGTAATTTATTAAATATCTTGTCTACTTGTACATTTGTAGTTTGCACACCCTCATAAAACCACTGAGTCAGTAAATACACAGACAGAGGATATCATCTATCCCAGTTTCAGAGTCAGAACTGCCAAATGTCATAAATCACACAACAAAAATGAGCTTGGTGAGAAAAATACAATCAAGTCAGAAGTCATAAATAATAAAGGCCATAAAAACTGCTGCTGTGAATGCTAACATTCATCACTGTTTCTCCAACTGACATAAGGAAAACTTGCTCCAAATTTACATTTAAAATCTTTCATCTGGAGAAATCAAATTATTTTCAGTTATTCAGAATAAAGCCCTCGGGACACATTTCATCTAGATTTTTCTTCATTCTGCCAAAGGTGATTGCATTTCCTTTTGCGATACAGAACTGGCTCAAGGGAATTATTGTACAGTAAACATCTACAGTCACCTTTTATGTATTAAAAAACATTTCATGATTGCTGGTTTTAACCCATATTTTTGGTTTAATTTTTATTTAGTCTTTTATTGCTCTCTGTATGCAATCTCAGCAAACTTGTGAAAATACCTAAATAAGATGAAGGCATCTGAGCAAATGTGATGATACATGGGACAAGCTACAATCAGCTAGGAGTACCCTCTCCCGTGGAGCCATCTCAGGAGACAGACACCTCTGCTTTTAAAGATAAGACAAGAAACTTTCCCTTTTCATAAAGTTTATAGTTAAAGCTGGATTAAATATCCATGAACGTTCCTTTAGTTATGCTGCTATAGGTTTAGACTGCTGCGGGACTTAATGTGATGCATGAGCACTTCTTCCACTCTCACTTTTCACTCTCCACAAGTTTATATACCAGCACACACACATAGACCAAAAAAGACAACAAACATGCAACAGGACAAAGCATGGAGACAAAGAACAAAGAAATATCATTAATCAATGTCATCATATTTTTGTCTAATCACTCTCATGTTTTGTGTTTTGTCCTGTTTCTCTGTGTTTTACTTTTTCTCTTCTCATTAACCTCCGTCGCTTGATTGATGCAGTACTGAATACCTTATAGTACACATTGGCGCTATATAAATAAGCCTTAAATTAAATTAAATTAACTTTGTTTTGTTAGCTTAGATGTGTTCTGTGCCTTCACTAGATATAGAAGGATATCTTGAAAAACAATGTCGTAGAGACTTAGGAATGGTCTGGCTTTCAGGTAGAAAGAGCTTGTGAATGCACCAGCGCACAGTGTGACAAACTACAAGTGAAGATTGAGCATGCACACGTGGTGCAGAGAACACCTCATTAATAAGTCTGCATTTCCCACTGCTTACCGAGCACAATAGCAAGCATCTGAGTCGCCTTTCTCTCCTTCTGCTGTGACAGCCTCCCTCTCACCCTTTCCTTGGTGATGCCCCATTTCTCTTTGCCTGCACTGCGCTCCCTCCATCCCTCACGGCCCCTCATGCCATCCTCAAGGGTGGGAGGACGAGGTGTCAGAGCCGATCGTGTCACAGTTGAGGGGAGAACAGGAGCAGGTCCAACCGAGATGGACAGGGAGATCCGGGGTCGTCCAGATTTCGAAGAGGCCTGAGGAGGAGGCGGAGGAGCCAGACCTTGCTCATTCTGTGGCAGGAAATGACCTGGCTCCACTTCAAGAGGGTGAACCACCGCCTCTTTAACCAGGCTCTGTGTGAGAATTACATAAAAATGACAATAAAAAGAGAATCCGTTTGGACTGAGTGCTGGCTTAAGTTATGACCCTCACCACTTTCTTGCGCTGTGGGGTTGCAGAGGCAGGTCTCAGGATCAGGGTGCACAGCTTCACATCTTCTGGTTGTGTACACTTATTCTGAAATGGAAGAATGCCGTGTATATTGAAAAGAAAAGATAATGCAAAAAAGAACTGGAAACTGATATCTCACAGTAAAATATATTTGCTGGTAGGACAAGAATCTAGTGTCATCTTATGGAAATTACACTGTGCATGAGATGAAGTGTGTGTATCTGAAGTTGCAAAAGTTTTTTTCAAATATGATGAAGACTGTTGTTGACTTCATCTAAACTTTCTATCTCGTTACAATTGCAAAATGGCTGGAAGAAAACTCAAACTTGACTCAAGCTTGATAAACATTAGTTTGGTATGAAATCTACCTTCCTGTGTCGGTGACCTTCTGCTTCAGCCGCACCTTGCGCAAGCAAACCGTGTCTGCGTGGCGGGGCAGTGCGTCTGCCGCGTTTGCGCAGCACCAGGCAGATCTGCGCGTACACCAGCAATGTTACAATGAAGGGAACGTAGAAGGAGGCCACAGATGAGTACACCACAAATGCCGGGTCTGCAAAGCTGCACGTGGTGCCTTCACGATTTGCTAATGTGCAGCAGAAAAAAAGAAAAAGGGCAAAGAATGGATATAGTACAGAAATCTTTAGGGATAATTGCAAGATTTATCTGTCTATGTGTAAAGTACAAAGGCAAAAGGCAAGAGAGGTTAACCTAGGATTTAAACTGGTGCAGAATTTAACTATTATCAGAGCAATTATAAAGACAAGTGAGATGGCACTCAAGTTATCCTAAATAGGAATCTGTGGCTCTGCTACCCTAAAAACTGATGAACAGTCCATCTTAGAAACATGAATCAGTTCTGTTGCACTGATGCACAGTTGAGGTTGGCGGTGGGCAAATCTACTCTATGATAATCATATTAAAGATGTATGGAAGAGTACAACATATTCAATTATTCTGTATTAAAGGTGCTGTTAACTTTGGTCATCTGTTTCCACTCGTTGTCAGCTGTAATAACCATCAGTTGAATTTACCATTAAACTCATTCATTTATTCTTAATCTTGAAACTTTTTGGAGTGCTTTAAGAACACCATGTTAAAAATGTTAACTCATGAAGTAAAATGCTGTTTTCATTGGCGTTTCATCAAACCTACATTTGCAAATGGTAAATGGCCTGTATTTGTATAGCGCTTTTACTAGTCCTGCCTAGGGACCCCAAAGCGCTTTACACACCCAGTCATCCACCCATTCACACACTGGCGGAGGCAAGCTACAGTTGTAGCTACAGCTGCCCTGGGGCAGACTGACAGAAGCGAGGCTGCCATGTTGCGCCACTTCTGGCCAACACCAGAAGGCGGTAGGTGAAGTGTCTTGCCCAAGGACACAACGACCGAGACTGTCCGAGCCGGGGCTCGAACCGGCAACCTTCCGATTACAAGGCGAACTCCCAACTCATGAGCCATGGTTCGCTTTGCAAGCCACCAATGATGCAATGTGATCCTTTACATTCAAACGCTGGCGCTGGAACTGAATGAAAAGCAATGCACACCTTTCAAATGCCGTGCTGTAATCTACGAGCAACACATTTCTGGGGAGAGAGAATATTTTTCACAGTTTGACTTACATCATTTGGTATCTTGCTGCATTTGGACCCACAACTGAGGCTGCCGGATGCCTCTTGCTCACCCTCGCATTACTCTATGTTTCCCCACTTATTCTCAAGTGGCCGCCTTTGAGTTCAGTGTGAGTGCTTTGAAAGCTGAAGTCCTTCATCACCAACTCGTGCTCACTGCAGAGTCAAATGGACTAGACAGCACCAATTCCCAGTGTTTATATATAAGGAGGTCGGGGTCTGCATGTACCTAGAGGTGGAGCTGGACTATGCTTCTCTACCTCATAGCTCTCCAATAAGGTTAGCTGCTGGGCACCTTCCCTACTGCTACTACTGTGAGACAATTTTAACCATCGATGATGCCAACATATTGAAATGTCACAGCATTATATTTTTAAAAGACGAATAATCAAATTTAAAGACAGTTTGGAAAGACTGTTTTTGTATTTAAAAAAAAGAAACAGTTCTATAATTTTAAAGAAAACAATTTACAGCTGAGCACTGAAAAAGTCAAAAAGTATCAGATGACCCTTTACCAGTGTTGTTCAGCCCAAACAGTAAAGGGCAGGAGATGGCAAAAGAAAGGAACCACACAACCGAAATCATCACCGCCACCCTCCTCCTGGAGCTGTATCTGGTGTTGTAGAGCAATGGCATTGCCACCGCTGTATATCTGCAACAATACATACACACAGACACATTAACGCGCCTCCTACACTTATGGTTGTGTCTTGACATGCACGTCAATGCAGAGGAAACAAATTTATTTCTGCACCTAATTGACCTCCTAGGACCTGGCGTCCACATATGTGGACATCACATTTTGGGTTGTGTAGACCAAAATATTAAATGTTGCTCCACAAGGGCCTGATATCCATTTACAAGGACATTATGCTGCCACTGTTCAGTCAAAATTGAAAACAAATGCCCTCATATGTGGATTTGATTTTTGTCAGAAACAAAAATCAGGTAAAATATAAAAATCAGGCAATTCTTTGTTTTTACATTCATCAGGTCCCAAACAGCCCAAATAGCAAAGTTCAATTTCGGAACATCAGAATCAGAATCAGAATCAGAATGGGGTTTATTGCCAAATGTTGAGCAGGTTTACAACATTAGGAAATTGCTGCGGTGCTTCAGTGCAAACATAGTGTCATAAATAGCACTTAAATAGACATGAAAAAATAAAAGTAGGAATAAGAATTAAAAGTGCTACGTAAAAAGATATGTGCATGAGCTATACATGAGATATATACATGAGAATAAGAATTAAGAGTGCTACGTAGATAGATATATACATGATATATACATGAGTGCAGGTGGTGATCAGTGCCAAACATGGAATGATGCAGTGACACAGCGTAGGGTCATGTGTTAGTGGCGGGAACAGTCATATGGTTATTGTTCATGTGTCCAACAGCAGAGGGGAAGAAACTGTTCTTATGGCGAGAGGTTCTGGTGCGAATGGACCGGAGCCTCCTGCCTGAGGGGAGCAGGTCAAACAGACAAACATGAAGCCTAAAGTAAAATACAAAATAATGACTGCACACTAGCTGCACAATCATTATCTAGATTTGTCCTATTTCTTGTTTTGCAGAATACACTGGATGACTTTGCATACAAAGTGCTCGAGTTAATTAAATCACAGCACTTTACCTCACCCCTGTGTCCTTGTAATGGGTCACTTTGGGGGCTTTAAGCCCTGACAGCTTTGCTACTGAATTATATATAAATTACTCTCTGTGGATTCAACAAAAACAATTTAGAGACTATCCTTAGATGCTATAAAAAATTACACAAGACCAAAGTGGTGCAGTCTAAATGTGTTACTTTGTCAGAAGAATTAGGACCCAATTGCAGACTGTCTGCCCGCTGGGTGTCTGGCCACCTCTCGCCGGACCATTAAGAGAGCATCAGGTGAGGTGGAACACTTAATCAGGTTTTTTATATGGTTCCACTAAAGCAAATACTAATTAGGGTCGCAACTGTGAAAACCTGTCATTACAAGGTGGACAGATAGATGACTGCAGCAGAAAGAAGTTTTTATTTGGCTACTCAGTGACAGCTGGATGATGGCAATGCAGTTTTTAGTGGGGTTTGTATAGGTAATGTATGTATATGCATGCTCTTTGGTTAGCGTTTATTTGCGTAACCCAGCCAAAAAAATATATAAAGGTCAAGATTAGGTGGAAGAAATACCATACTGATTTACTGTCATGTTATTTGGTTAAAAATGACTTATATAATTTCAACTAGTTTATAACAGAATAACTTGTTCTCCTGTTGAAAGGGAATTCTCAAGAGGAAGATAAATTGTTAGAATAGAAGTGAGGTGAGCTCAACAATAAGAGGAGACACAAAGAGAAAAGAGAACAAACAAGCAGTAAAGGTGATAATGTGAGAGTAATTTTTAGGCAAGCGTCCACCTGTCGATGCTGATGGCGCAGAGGTTGAGGATACTGGCTGTGCACATCATGACGTCCAGGGTGAGCAGGATGTCACAGTGGATGAGGCTGAATCGCCACTCTCCGACCACCTTCAACAAAGCAAATGAGTTTTACTCACTCATAACTCACGTTTTGTACATTTTTATTGATGTGCAGCACATCAATATTAACCAGGCTGGTTCAAACTTTTGCTTCTTATTGGATAATTCAATATTTAATTTGAGTTTTAATAGTTTAATAAAGATCATTACTTTCTTTTGAAATTTAACTACAAAGACTGTCAGAAAGAAAAAGACAAAGGATTTGTGTTTACCTACTAAATAATGCAGAAATAAGTATTTTGCACTCTAACAGTGATTGCTGTGCACCAAAGGATTTAAAAAAATAATTCAAGTAAGTCCCTTGCAGAATAACTAACAGAAAGAAAGAAAAAATAGAATTAAAACAAAGGAAGCATAATAAGCAAAGATACACAAGGGAAGCTTTTCTCCCCTTTTGTTAATAAAACACAAAAGGCAAACGAAAATGTGAGAAGACCTGACAGGTTATTCCAAAAGAATATGCGCATTATTAATAAGTCCTATTATTTTCTTGATTACCATACCAATCTTATCCATAATGTTGTTCTGTTAACTTCATACTAACAAAAATGTATTTGTATTGTTCATTTTCAACCAGCAGTCCACAAACCAAAGCTACTGAAACTACTATAAGAAGCTAGACAAAACAGCATCTAATATATTACTGGTCTCATTTGCTTTGTGTTTGTTCGAAAAAGGCTGAAAACTACCGAACACTCTTATCCTCTTGATTTCCATTGCATCTAAGGATTTGATTCTCTCTTTTTTTTTGTCTTTCTTCTGAATCACAAAAAAATAAACAAGAAAAGAAGGGAAAACAAACACAAGTGCACACACCTCCAGGTATACGCCCCAAGGCATGACCAGCGTGGCCAGCAGCAGGTCAGAAACAGCCAGTGAGACGATGAGGTAGTTGGTGGTGGTCTGCAGGGCACGTTCTCGAGACACCGCCACGCACACCAGCACATTACCAAACACCACGCAGAAGATCAGGAGGACTAACAGCACCGCATAGAAGTTGTATGGCGGAGAGTAGGGTGAAGCAGAGCTGGTGCAGTTGGTGGAAGTCAGCAAAGAGGAAGAGGATGTGGGGAAGGATATGAGGGAGTACGAGGGGTCATTGGTGACATAGACAGAGAAATTATGTTCAAGGGAAGAGAGAGGGAAGGAGGGGGAGGAGGTGTCGTCTGACTTGTTGGGTAAAGTCATCTTGCTCCAGTGAACATGGTCAGGCTGAAAATTAATGACACAAAAAAGCAGGAGAAACATAATTACTGTGGGGCCCTTCATGGCCCACTGTGCATTTGATTCTGTCTTTTAAAATAGATCCAAAGACGAGTGGCTACTTTTTCTGACAGGAAAGGAGAATGAAGGAACGCTTATTATTGGAACTTTGTCTTTGGTCTCACCTCAGACAGACAGCTTTGTAACCACACAAAGGGCACAGAGTAAAGGAAAATCATTGGAAGTAACAATACTGCACACTCAGTTTTTTATGTTAGTTTTTAGTTAGTTAGTTTTGACGCTCCCATTATTGCCTGGATTTCTTCCCGCTGCTGTCTGCAGGTGGTTATGGTGACAGTGATGACAGAGTTATGCTGCCAGAAAAGGTGCTACGCAATGTTTTCTTGTAAAAAGGAAAACTTATTTAGCTAATCACATTATTTATATCACAGACAATCAACTTCCACTTAACCCTATAATGCCCTTTGTATCATATATGATATATGAGTTTCTGAGACCTCTATCTCATCAGCATGATCAACACTTGCCATACTTTCAAAATGTTATTGAGAAAATTCTCCTTTTTTGTCTAAAATTAACATTGTTTTTAAGAAAAAGTTGCCAAAAATGCCCAATCAAATGTGATACAAAATATATATAATAAATATGTAATAAAAATATATCATACACAACATGATACAGCAAAAAGAAATTGTGGATTTTGTTATAAGGGTTAATAAACATCTCAATTCCAAAGAATTTGAATTTTCTGGCTGTTTTCGATAGGTTGGGTCTTACAGGGTTAAAAATTATGCAAAGACAGTTTTAAAAATACTGCAAATCATTCTGGGTTTATGTCTATATATGAATTAAGAAAGCTGAGGCCCAAACTACAAAGCAGCATCTCTTTGTGTTTCTCTAATGGCTGTCAGTAATAAATATTAACTATGAGACCCAACTTTATTCCTTGATTTTCTTTCTCTTGGCAGCAAAAAATGTATTGTTCTGAAAGCATTAATATATGATCCTAAAACACAAACCCCACACTGTAATTGGTGATGTGATCAAATTTTTACCGAGCCTATGTTTCAAATCTGTTTTTATATTCAATCTTTACTCCCAAACTCTTAAACAACAGGAAGTCTGCAGCTGCCAGAGCAAAAACTAAAACAGTCAGGAGCAGGTTATGGTCCGAGGGGGTTAAAAATCAGATGGAAGCCCCACCTCACGTTTTCACTAATTCTTTTATTTACAGCATGTTTTAAGTGTGATATAGATTCTCTGCTGGGGGTGTACCTTTTATATGTGTAGCTTCCTAAAACCACATGAAACACAAACTGTGCATTGCACTGTCAGAGGAATACGTTCAAATTAGTTTGATGCTGTACAAACCGTATAAAATGTTAGCGTACTTCATTCTAATCTGCTGCTCGAACTCTTTTACACCACTAACCTGCAACCTTTGGAACACAGAATAATGTCTCTGTGTTTTCTGTGGAAAAAGAGTAATATGATCCATGAATTCAGCTTTTAGATTGATTCGTTGCTGCCAACATGACACCTTTCATGTAAACGCATAGGGGAAATTAGACACGCACGAGTTAAAGCAAGCCATCTACTAATTGGAAGATCGATTGTTCAATTCCTGCCTGCTCCAGTGTGCATGCAGTATGCTTGTGCAAGATACTGAACCACAAGTTGCTCTCCAAACCATCCATCAGAGTATTTGCTAGAAAGCACTTAAGTGTAGGAAAAAAGTGCTTGTGTGAATGAGGTATTTTGTTTAAAGCCTTTTTAGTAGAGGAGAGTGCTATAGAAGAACCACTTACCACTTACATGTGTAATGTAATACTAACTGAACATCCTGATACTCACTGACCAGCATGCTTCTGAATTAATGACGAGACACACACACACTTCATATATAAACTATAATTGCACTGTGACAGCTTATAGCATTTATAAGCCGTATGGATGCTCATCACTGAGTCAGTATTCTGTTTGTTCTGACATGCCTTCCACCCATGAAAGATTTAACACAGTCAGTCATATTTGATCAATTATGTATGTATTATCAGTGTTCAATACACAAAGGTTTTACCTACATAACCTGTCCATAGCATAAAAAGAATTATTGATGTTAGGTCAGTGAGAGAAACACTAATCCACGTGTGCAATGCATGCATCAGTGTGTTGGGTGAGCTGTGTGAAAACATTAGTTTATTAATTGCCTCATTTTTGTTTGTATTTTTAGGATGCATTATTCACTGACTGCTCTCTATAAGCCATGCTCTCCCTTTGGCGATATTGATGCACAGTGGTACTGTAATCCACAACTAGTTGATGTAATTCAATTTGAAGGGTGAACTAAGGACGGTGCAACTCTTTTGACCAAAGGGCCATCAGGAGTAGAGTGTTTGTGCAAGCTGTCGCTCAAACCCAGTTTGTTGGCTGTACAGAATAATTCATGAGAAATTGCTCAGAAATAAAGTAATGCTCCATATTTTTGGGGGGAAGAAATGTGGATTGTTGTCAGCATACAGATGAAGTGCTGAGAAATTGATTTTTGCTGCACAAGTTTTGCATCATAATGTTACAATCTTTATGAGAAAAAAACCCTGTCAATTGGGTTTCATGTGAAGACTTTCTTCTAATGTCACACTGAATCTGATGGCAGGTTATGTTCTGTAAATGACGCAAATGACAAGCATGTTCTTTAGGAATCTTTGTTTTTAGGGGAATCATTAGACTCAGCACCCCAGTATCCTGAAATGACATGTAACACTCATTTGTGTGCCATCAAAAGAATTTATTGTTTGCTGATTGTGGTTTACAACCCAGTAGTGTTGACTGATGACGATCTTAATCATGAGCCGCACCCTAATCCTTACCATAAAATGACATCTGAGATCTCAAAACATCAACATCAAAGAGCAAGATGCCCCAAGACAGAGTGCAAAACTAGGAAAAAAGCTATTTGCCAGTGACAGACTGCAGAGCTTCTGTAAAGCTGCTGAAGCACTGCAATAATAAGAATGAGAAGATGAAGTCTTCAAAAGTCTTCAAACTAGCCTTTTCTTTGAAACATGCGATTAGTAGCCTGGTACTGATGTCTTTTTGCAGAGAGGAGACATGATATAGATATTAGGGGTGCAACGATATTCGTATCGATATTGAACCGTTCGATACAGTGCTTTCGGTTCGGTACGCATATGTATCGAACAATACAACATTTGTAATTTATTTTATCAACTTTCCTTCTGACGATGCTGTCTGTGTTGAGCGCTCAGTGAATCTGTGTTCGACTACTCCGCCTAGGCTGCACTGAGCGCTCAACACAGACAGCATCGTCAGAAGGAAGAGCGCAGGGCAAGCTAGCGAGAGAGAAGTTAAGCTCTCCTTGCAACATGGACCTCCCCCACCCTCATTCAGATCTGGCGTTTGGAATTATTTTGGTTTTCATGTGACGTATGACCCTGAAGGTAAGCGAGTCATGGACTAAAGTAAAACAGTATGTTGGATGTGCCATGCAATGCTCAATTACATGGGTGGGAACTAGTGTGTTAGCGCAGTTAGCTCGTTAACATGTTGGCCGGCGGTAGCTCGTTAACGGAGATTTGCCGTGTTGTGGCGTTAAGGTCATTTCAACGAGATTAACGCTGACAGCACTAGTGGAAACACAACGAATATGACTGCACATTTACGCCGACATCATCCTAGTGCAAAGACAAGTGGAAGCAGACAAAAACAAGCAAGCATGCTACTAACTTTAGCCGAGTCATTTAGACAGCTGTTAGCACATGATTCTCCTTATATATGTTTAATATGCTGCTGAGAATATAGCCCAGAAGAAGCGGATAGTATAGCTTTTATTTTGGAAAGAGACATTTCTCTGTAATAAACTCTCTTTTCCAAAGATGAGTGATTCCTCAATCAGATACAGGGCTCGCAATATCGCTAGCCCGACGTCCTGGGGCTAGCGATTTTTTTCAGACGGGCTACCCTGCCCGTCGGGCTATTGTAGGAAGGAAAAATATATGTCAATGCTTTTGCATTCTTTCAGAAATGTAGCTGGGTAATTATGTCATTGGCATCGGTGAGCCACTGTCAATATGTGACATATTGAAATCGCGTTTGAATTTGTGCTTGTTTTTTTTGCTTTCAATTTGCAATCGTGCGAACTGTGTATAGAGAGCGACAGCACTGATCTGTGAGTGATGATAATTTGTGCACCAATTCCTCTGACATCGTCTTATTAATTGTTAGCTTACTATGCAAACATGACAAGTGAAATCTCCCGCAGCTTAAACATGTGAGAGGTTGATCGCGCAGAGAATCGCTGAGCTTATGTGAGTGCGTGTGTAAAAGCAGCAGGAGAAGTTATGACAAATCAGACTATAAGGCAAAAAGAAAGTGCAGCTTTATGGTTTCATGGACAAAAGAATTTCTGTGGCTGCAATATGACGAGCTAAATAACCAGGGCTGCACATAAGTGGTCCGCAGGTGCGCATTCGCTGTCAAAATAAAAAACACGCACAAGGGTTAGGGTTAAATTTAAAAACTGTACTTTTGAGTTAAAATATATATTTATAATTTTAATAAATGACAAATTAAAAAGGCATGAACATTTTTTTGTATCGAAAAAACATCGAACCGTGACACTAAAGTATCGAACCGAACCGAACCGTGAATTTTGTGTATCGTTGCACCCCTAATAGATATATAAGAACTTCTCTTCCCCTCGCTTACAAGTCTTTGGCTCTCTTCTGTTACACTCAAACACAGAGGCTGTACGACAGCATGCAAAAAGCTGCATGAAATATTTATCGGCAACAGGAAGTTGAAACGGACTACTGACTGGCAGCATCACAGTTTGAATTTTCTTGTTAGTCCATGAATGAATTAAGTGAGACTTTTACCACCTTAGCACCACCCGCTCCGTCATGAGCATCACATTACAATTACTGACTGACTCTGACCTCTACTCTGCATTGTTAATCAACCCATAT